CGGCGGGGGAAGCGGGTGGGACATTGCCCATGGGCGAACGCAGGGGCTTCGGAGAGGAGGCGCGATTTAAGGTAGAGGCACAAGTAAATACCTGAGACCAGAGAGGGGTGACCCAGTGACCTTGTGAATGTGATCTCTGGAGGTGCAAGGAGAAGAATGTTAAATAAAGATAAAATCTCATGTGCGTAAGTGAGGTTGCTACATTGCTCAAAATAAGGCTTACTCAGCTTTTACCAAGGTTTCTGGGCGGCTTTGCTGAGCAGGGCTCAGTAAGGTACTGCCTTCAGCTTTACAGATCAGGTGGGTATTTCTTTCCACCTTTGTCCAGGAACTGTGTTGTGCAGAAACGAAGCTGTAACTCTCCTAAGGGAGTGGGAGAGGGTTTAATGTTAATCTCTGCCCAACAACAAATAGACAAAAATGCAGACAAAAGCCCTAGGATCTCCCTTGGGAATGCAGGGCACATTGTGTCTGTGGCCTTCAGGAAGTCTGGGAGGTTTCAGTCATTGTGTAGACGCAGAGCAGAGTTCTGGCAGAGCAGTCCTGATTCAAGCTTTAAGCACACTGAAAATTGTATCATGGTTTCTGTCTTCTCAGTCTTGCATTTCATAAACAGCTTTTCAGCCTAAATACTACTTCAGTTGCTGAGCTGAAATGGCAGTGCTAACTTTACTGTATGAAAATTCCTTGTATTAGATGTGTGAGTGTGTATCCCTCTGTGTGTGCAGAAGGTCTGAAAAAGCTGTGCTTTGAGCATGCCTAGTTCAGCTAAGAAAACTAAAATATGCTAGTTCTGTTGTTGTGTTTTTTTTCAGGCAAGAATTCATATCAGCTCCAAGCAGAATTTGCAGTATGGTTGGCTGGCTTATATGTTGGGAGACAGAGCTACAAAAAAGTTCACTGAATACAGCAAAATCTTCACAGTGGAGGGGAACTTATCTTCTGGGAAGGGCAAGCTTGCACAACAAATAGCAGAAAAACTAGGTACATCTTATTTTCCCTATTTCTGTAATAGTTTGTAAATTTGACAGTGTGATTGTCATTCTTGTGTAAAGAAAGTTAGCTCACCAAACCAGCAATTCTTGACTAGGAAATTACTAGTTGGGCATTGCAACAGTTAATGTGGAGGGCTTATAGGTAAGGGGAGAATAAAATGTTGGTGAGGTTTGAAATGAGGATGGGACGCTTGCCAGATCTGCGGGATACTTGTGTAAGTATGATTTGTTGTGAATGAAATTTTAATTCTAACGAAGTCAGGTTGCTCACTGAGCTCCTAGCTCCGGTGGAGTCACTGAGCACTTTGAGAATTAGGATTTTCTGCATGGGTGTATGCAGAGCCTCAAGGTGATTAGAGGACTGGTTGCAAAAAGATTCTGCTTAGAATGACAGCTCAGCTGCCACTGGGGAGGTGAAAAGTGGCGATACTTCAAATTAGGATTTGTGTGCCCTCTGTGATGTGATTGACGAAAGAATTTTGTGCTGTTTTCAAGTGCTGTTTAAAGTTAATCTACATATATCTAAATGAGCTGAATAGACGTTTACTGTAAATGAACAGAACTTATTATTTTGATTGGTGGTCGGTTGTGGGTTTCTTTTTTGTCAGGAATGAAATATTTCCCAGAAGCAGACATCCATTACCTAGACAGAATCACGGGAGATGGAACATTGCTGCATGAGAAATTTAATGGTTTCTGTAACCTAGAGAGATTTTACAATGATCCGAAATGCCCTGATGGACACTCTTATCGACTACAAGCTTGGCTGTTTGGTAACCGTGTTTTACAGTACGCTGATGCGTTGGAGCATTTGCTGACCACAGGTTAGATTTCACAGTAAATAAATTTCACTTCTAAATTAACTTATGAGTCTAAGTTGTGAGTAAGCTGTTTTGAAGTGCTTTGCTAGTATGTGCATTTTTAAATGAAGGGCTGTTATTTTGTTAAGCTTTTTATATTTTTCCCCCTTAGTGAGTACAGGTTAACAGTCCATTTATAAAAATACCCTGCATATTTTGTTAGAACAGTATCTTGTATCATTTCTAGTGAAGGAAATATGTACCAGTTACCAATTTCATTAGTTTTAATTTGGCAACCCCTGATGATTATTTTCAAAAAGACATTTTAAACATAGCAAGAGAGCTGTGAGTTGTACAGCCTTTTTAAAACTCTCCTTAGACTTAGTTCCTGATGGTGTCTTCTGTTCAGGCTTTTTGATTATATTAAATACTGTTTTTGTGGTGGTATTGTTATAATTTGAGTGTCTTCTGGTGAGAAAACATTTCCTGTACTAACTCTGATTTACCTGTTGCTTGTGCTTTAGTAAGCGTTTTCCAAAAAAAAAAAGAAAAGATGTGAATGCCAGAATGTATCAGACACAAATGTGAACGTACTCCTCAAATATAGTAGTACTTAGCTACTGTAGTGATAGGCACAGTAGGAGAGTATATGTATGGGTGAGACAGGCATGTTCAGCATACATATCCAGTATGTTTGTGTGAGCCAGAAACTTGCTCTTTTGTTTTATTTAAAATTATTAGAAAAACATTCAGAAAATTGACCATATGAGCAGTGCTGTCGTTAATTTTAAATGTTGCTGCCAGCAGCCTCTTTGGGCCTTGCTGACTGGAACCTACCTTCAATTGCAGGACAAGGTGTGGTGATGGAGCGCTCTCCCTACAGCGACTTCGTATTTCTGGATGCAATGTTTAAACAAGGCTATATCCACAAGCGATGTAAGTTACTTGCATGCAAAAGGAAGTTATTTTGCCATAATCTCAGCCAGAAGTGTGGTATTTCAGTTTTTAAAAAAGAAACAAAAAAGCCTGCTTGGAAGGTGGACTCCTTCAAATATGCAGAGTTGTTCATAAGATGCTTAGCACCTTGCTGTTCCGTGGATCAAGGACCAACCTCAAGCCATGAGACTTCCAGTTTTAATTCAAGGCTTTGGTTCTACTTATATGTTAAAGAACATATATTCTGTGTATTGCTTACTGGTATCCTGTCTGCCAGAGACTCATGTAGTTCCGTGGAAATGTGGGTGAGCATGCTGATGAAAACTAGAGGTCCTTCGGGCAGACCGTGATCTTGCAACAATAGGTGGGAAGTAAATAATGGGTCAACAGTGTTTGGCCTACTTGCCTTAAATGACCAGCTCCCTTTTGAATCTCAAAGAACACAAATGTTGCTCTTGTCTTCAGGAAGGGCAAGGAGGAGGATGCAGGAAGCTACAGGCCAGTCAGCCTCAGCTTGATCTGCAGGAAGGTGATGGAGCAAATCCTCCTGGAAGCCATTTCCAAATATATGGAGGATGTGAAGGTGATGGAGAATAGTCATCATAGTTTTATGAAAAGGAAATCATACTTAAACACCTGATAGTCAGCTCCTCATAGAAGGCTAGCTCACTGGATGAGTGGAGAGCAATGGATATTGTTTACCTTAAGCAAAGCTTTCAGGGCTGTCTCTCATAACCTCCTCATTGACAAACTGATGAAGTATGGATTAGATATGTGGGTAGTAGATTGAAAAGTGGCTGAACTGCTGGGCTCAGAGGGTTGTGATCAGCAATGCAAAGGCCAGCTGGAGGCCAATAACTAGTGGTGTATCCCAGGGGAGGATACTGGGGCCAAACCGGATTTAAACTGGATGACAGAGTGCAGCCTCAGTAGATTTGCAGGTGATGCAAAATTGGGAGGGGAAGGATTGACACACCATATATTTTTGATGCTATTCAGAGGAACCTGGGCAGGCTGGAGAAACGCTTGGATGGTAACCTCATGAAGTTCAACAAAAGGGAATGCAAAGTGCTGCACCTGGGAGGACATAACTGCAGGCACTCGTATATGCTGGGAGACAACTGCCTAGAAAGTTTTGCAGAGGAGGACCTGGGGGTCCTTACGGAAACCAAGTTGTATGTGAGCCAGCAATGTGCCCTTGTGGCAAAGGATGCCACCAGCATCCCGGGTGCTGCATGAAGAAGAGCGTTGGCAGCAGGTCAAGGAAGGAGATCACCAAATCTGAAGTATTGTGCCTGTTGAAGAAAGATAGTAACTTACTGGAGTGAGTCTAGCAAAGGGCCATGAAGGTCACTTAGAAACTAGAGCATCCAATGTATGAGGAGAGGCTGAGAGAGCTGGGATTTTTTTGGCCCGGAGAAGAGAAGGCTCAGGGGGATGTGCATAAATACCTGATGGTATTTATATACATAAAATACTTGATGGGGAGGAGTATTGGCTAGAACCAGTCTTTTCTCAGTGGCACCTAGCGAGAGGACAAGAGGCAAAGGGCACCAGTTGAAATACATGAAGTTCCATTTACAAGAAAAAAACATTTTCTACTCTGAAGGTAGTCAAACCCTGGAGCAGGTTGCCTGGAGAGGCTGTGGGATCTCTATCCTGGAGATACTCGGAACACTGTGGGACATAGTCCTGAGCCACCTACTCTAGTTGACCCTGCTCTGAGCAGAATGATTGAACCAGATGCTCTGTGAATGTTCCTTCCAACCTGAGTGATTCTGTGGTTTGGGGTTATGGGCACTGAACTCCTGAGCAGCGCGGTGTTACTGTGCTGGTGCCTTGTGAGCAGACGCATGGAGTCTCCATCCCTTGGCTAGGAATGGAGCAGTTACGTGACATACGTAGGAGACCAGCCACAGCCAAAACATGCAAACTTACAGCTGAATCAAAGTTTGAAAGTCTGTAGAAAATAACTATAAAGCCCAGTCATCAGCTGACCCCTTAGTAAATTGCTATTGAAATTCTTGTTTCTGCCTGTTCTTAGCAAATCTGGCATTTTGGCTACTCCTGAGGTGAAGATAATTGTTTCCCTGACTGCCTCATGTTTCTGCTGTCTTGTTTGATTTGGCTTAGATTTAGGAGGTGTATATTTGTTTTTTAACACCTGCTGTAAGTTGTAACTTCTTGATGAATGACCTTGAGAGCTGGTTATAATGAACTGTGTATCTTACTGCTCTGTGTTGGTGAGGCAAAGCAAGCCCGGCAACCTGCAATTTATATTTAATATAAAATTCCAACAGCAAGTAATGGGTTCTACTGAAATCCTTAAACAGCAAACATCTTCATTAGAGATACTGATGACTGCTGCTTACTGTGGTGCCAAGCGCAGTGGGCTTTATGTTTTTCACAAACTGTTTGAATTTGAAAGCCTGGTACTACGTTTCTAGCTAAGCCAGTGAGCCTTACTGAGGAAAGCTTGCACTTGAGCTAGGTTTAATGGAGCCTGTGCTATTCGTGTCACTTAAATTTGAATAGATGCTTCCCCTGAACCTGTGTGTCTTCCTAATCACCAACTATTACCCCAAAAATGCTTTAGGTTATTGATGTGGTAGAAGAACACAGTTGCACAGACCCAACCAACTCCTCTCAGATAAGTTTTTCTGTATAGGAAGGTGAGGTCCTCCAGTCCTGTCCTCTGAAGTGGAGTCTGTTTGTCATGTTTTTGGAGAGAAGATCTGCTGTTCCTTGCATAGAGCAGAGAGCTATTGAGTTAACAGTAGTGCAGAGTATGCCTCCAGTACAGGTGAAGAGGGACACTGCTGGGTTGGTGGCCTCTTAAAATATTTGTTTTACCTCAGCATGACTTTGTGTATGCATGGGAGGACAGGGCGAATGCCTGCCTGGTCCTGGGGTTTCCCCCCATGGTGAGAAATAGAGGACTTCTTGCAAAGTCTTCTTGAAGCATGTGACACTCTTCCATTACCACCTTTGACACACTATCATCTTTGTGGTACGTTGGGGCCATTTCTTTTGTGTATGAGGCTGTGGCAGAAGGCAGCCCCAGCCAGTGGTCACCTCAGGTGACCTGAGCACCGCAATCTCTCTCTGATGTTTTGAGAGGCCATCTCTAAATGATGGAGGAAAAACCTAGGTTTCTCTAAACTTAAGTCAGAAATAAATCCCCTCTTTGATATAACTGATGTTAGATTATTATATCTCAGTGCATGTAGCTTCTTAGTTTAATTGTGTTTTACTTTCTGTGTCTGGAAGACTGTTTATTTTAAAAACTTTGTGAATCCTATTTGAGGAAAAGCCTACCCTAAACTTGCTGTATCAGCCAAGAAGAGGAGACTACCAATACAAGGGTGGGGGATGTGATTTATTTGCAAATAGAATGTGTTTAGCAAATGCAGGAAAAAACACTCAAGAAATGATTGCAGATGCATTACCTAATAGGTTATAATTTTAATGCTGTTCCTATTGCACTTGTCCTCATTTGCAACATGTGTATGTGTTTAGCTGGTCTTCCTTTAGGTCTCCAGTGTATTTGGTTTTGGTTTTTATACAGGTCTTGATCACTACAAGGAGATCAAAGAGATCAGCATTTGTGAATTCCTGCCACCTCACTTGGTCATCTATATAGATATGCCCGTCCCAGAGGTGCAGAAGAGGATTCAAGAGAAAGGCGAGGTAATTTTATCTCTTGCCACTATTACTGCCTGTTAAAGTCTATTGTAATTGTGCCCTTATGCATGAGTCCTGTGGGGTTTGCTGTGGAATTCTGATTCTGAAAAGCTTCTCATCCTCTTAGGTGTAAGAACTGTGTGCTGGTGACGACTGTGTGGGTATTCTGGTATGCTTGCTCTAGAAAAAGCAAAAATCAACTTTGACTGCATCAATATGCTGTCATTTCTGTAATGAGAAGCTCTGTGAAAATCATCTGCCCTTAAAAAACAGCCTTTGTAGCCGCTGTTTCAGGAGTTGTGTCCAGGTAATATGCTTCTTGCAGTACACTCCAAGGTTACCCGTGCTTCCTGAGTGCTGAAAGCCCCAACTGGCTGTCCCCTTCTCCAGCTTCCCCAGTTGACTGCTGTTTCAGACTTGTGTTGATGTTAATGTGTGGGTCACTTGTGATCACAAGTTCAGTTAACTTTCTGAGATTAAGAAAATTACTGCTTGGCGCTTCTGTGTTAACACAGCGAAACCACCAATTTTAAACTTAAAACGAATTTTTTATAGGTATTGCATGAGATATAAAATCCAGGGTGCTTTCTGCCTAATCTAATATAAAGTTGATAAGAAATACAGTTGCTTCTTGCCACTAGTGCAACTTCAGTCTAGTCTGAGGTCATGATATGTGACTCTTACCTATTGTTGATCTTTGACAATTGTGGGTCATTCTCACTTTTGCTCTCAAAACCATTTGAGGGTGGCATAATTTCTCTCCAAGATGCCTTTTTTTTTTTTTTTAAGTCATGGTATTGGATGGAGACTACTGTTAAAAAGCAAAAAAACCAAACCTTAGTTCTGTAGCATTGTCTTCGAATTACCTCTCTCATTAAATCAGCATATTGGATTACTGGGTTATTGAAATAGTCTTGGATCAGAAAAGCTGTAGGGTACTTTTGTATAATGACTAATCTAAATACGGTTTTTGGTTTGGGTTTTTTTCTTCTCCCTTCTGTGGTATTTGGACATGTGCTTATAACTCTTCTCAGATGTGTTATGAGGATTAAATGATGTTTACCTTGTACCTTGTTCAAAGGCTAAGGGAAATTGAGTCAAGTGAAGTATTTAACTGTGGAAAGCCTGATAGATTCAAATAAAACTTTGATTTATTACTAAAAAATTCTCAGGTCTCTTAAATGCTTCTCTCAAAGCATGTGTGCGTATGTTAGTGTGCTAGGGTGAGCTAGTAGCATTTCGTTTTGCAGTTTCCTGCTCATTTAAGAGGGAGGCTGACGATTGCCAAAGGGAAGTGACTTCAGAGCCATAAATGGAAGGCTGCCCTTGCTGCTTTGTGATCTGCGGGGCCCAAGTTGCTTAGTCTGCTGGTCGAATGCTCTCCCTTTCTGCCCTCCAGCAGTTTAGGCCATGACTGAACATCCTTCTGTGTTTAATGAACAAGACACTTTTGTATAGGAAAACCATAGCTTTTTTGTTGTAGCAACTTCAGTGACAGAATTAGAAGCTTCTTAATGCATCGTGGGAACCCGTGAGTTCTTTGCCTTTGTGAGCATAAAGGTCGGTGGCATTTTTGAGACCTTCTGGCATAAACTGCTGGTGTAACTTGTAACTTCCCTGGGGCAGTGGCACTGCTGAACACTAGTGCTTGTTTGGGGATAGTATTTTTGGGAATTCTGCCTTCTTGACAGATGGAGTGTTTCATTGGTATTCAGCATGCTGCTGTTGCAGGGCACTGGAAAAAGAAAAGCCCTCCAGTGGGCCGACAAGCAGAGACACAGATCCTTCCAACATAATGGGCATCTTGGATGAACATTTCAAGCAGGAAATGTAATTTAATTTTAGGATTGAACTGAAGGAACACATGGTAGAGTAGAGAAATTCCTGGCATTTTGCAAATGTGGCATTAGAGTACGCCATGCGAACGATGAACTGTTTAACAGCAGGTATGATATCCATGAAATTTAAAAGAAAGATTTTGGAGTGGATGGTTGGCCATGCACTTGTCTGAAACTCTGGAAATGGATGCACGTTGGTCCTCTTGTTGAAAAGTCAGACTCAGACAGTCTTCTATTTTCTGGATTATTACATATAACTTCCTTGAATGTGCAGGTAGCTAGGATTGATCAGTCCTTGGAAAGCTGATCTTTTTGAGGCTGTTGATGTATGGTTCTCTTAAGTTATGTGAACTCAGGGAAAATGAGGTGATTCCTGTAACAAACTGAAATAAGTTGGAAGAAAGTTTTTCACTTTTACATTCTGCTGTTTAACCTGCCTTTCCCTTTCTAGATTCACTAGCCTATCAGAAGAATCTTACTCACACTCATTAAGGCTGTGGACATAATAATACAGGGCAAAGCAGTGATTAATGTAGACTGACTTATTCCTTAGGGTACTCTAGATATTTAATGCCATGTAAAGAAATTCTAATCACTCCAAATTCTTGAAACTTTCATTAATGTGCATGTGGTTCACTTGGATGTCTGACTGCTAGGAGTGAGCTCGTGGCAGATGGTGTTACATCACCTTCTGCTTAGGCTGGAATCTGTGCTGGTGGGAAAAGACAGAAAACTCATTTCACAACATTGTTTTCTGTTTGCTTTCAGCCATATGAGAAAAAGGTGTCTCCTTTGTATCTCCAGAGCATTGAGGATGCTTACAAGAAAACCTTCTTACCAGAGATCAGGTTAGCAAACCAAAATGTTTTGTCTGTTAGGTCTTTGAGTAAAATGTGTGCAAATCCTAAAATCTCTGCCAATATAAGCAAATAAAGTCATATCATGTGAGAAATCCTCCTTGTGCTATGTGGTACAATATTATGTCCTAATGATGGGGTATTGCATCCATGGTGTAACAGCTATGTATACTTGTGTAGTTACCTCTGGCATCTGAGAAGCCTGATGCCAGTGTTAAAATACTGGAAGATTAAGAATGAAGTCTTTTTAAGTGTGAGCTTTATAAAGCAATGTTTTTTGATTCTTAACAGATTCAGAGTGGGTGAAGTGTTGTACAATAGTAAATTCATTGGATTTCATTAATTGACCTACCTAATATGTTGCAAAGCTAATGAGCCTTGATCTGCAGTATGTTTTTTCATCCTTCTGTCTTGGGGCATTGCAACTTCACTGTCATGGATTCAGATATAGGGAAGTATAAACTTTTTCATAGTTAAAAGAGCACTTCAGGAGTGAAGCCAAGAATCTGGTCTGTTTGCTCTGCAAAAACAAGTTCTGTCTCCCTTTCTGACTATTCGGTATCTGGTTGGCATCAACACTTTTGCTTCTCTTTCTGTTAGCTTGCAACAGTGGTTGGAGTGCTTTCTTGGAGTGATGTCCAGAATGCCATAGCTATAGCTGTGTGTTTGTGTTTGTGTGACCTGAGGAGAGTGTGATGCAATATAAGCTTTTTTTCAGGCCTTTTTGGAGAGTTTGGAATTTTTCTCTCCTAAAAACTCCTTTCAGTTGTCATAGCTTTGGCTAGTTTCTTGATAGTGGTGTGGAGGGAGAGGAGAAAGGCTTTCAGGTAAGGGACTGATCCTTTGTCTAGTTCCGTTTCTCTACCTCATGAGGCATACACATGGTAGCCTTCCACATTTGAAAAGGATTTGATGGACTTGTTGGTACTGGTAAATAAAGACTGCACTGCTACCTGCTCTGAGAGACTGAAGGTGCTCTTCTCTGGGCTCCCCTGGCTTTCTCTAGCTGGGAAGCAAGAATGTGTACACTGTAAACTTGAGATGAGACTATTATAGTTTGCCAGCTATCCCAGCTCTTGCAAAAGAGTTCTATCAAAAATCAAGTTGTCCTAAAAATCTAAAAGCACATGAACGTAAGCAGTCTTGGTCCCTCATAAACAAATAGCTTTCTGGAAGGGAAACTCTTAAAGGTCACAGAGCCAGGCCTACTTTACATCAAAATGATCTGTAATCGTGCAAGGTTTGGTGCGTACATGAAGCTGATTATTGAGTTACATTTAAGTCAAAGATGATCTTCAGGTATGTTGTAGCCTGCTTGTTTCCTCTTGCTTTCTTGCTCCATCTCCCAGCGTAAACCAGTGTAATTGCGCTGTCAGCAACTGAACTGAATAACTTCATATTGAGCTTGTCATTCATAGAGGGGAGAAGTTGTTGGTGCGATGTATGGGTCAACTGCCTCCCAGTGCATCCCCCACAGGTTAGCAGCCAGCACACAGCTCTCGGAAGGAAACGGGGGCTAAGGATGGAGAGGGAGGGTGGGAAGCCTTGGGACTGTCATCCCCCTGAGGGCAGAATTGTTTTGAATTTACTAATGAGGAGAAAAATGCTGCTTGTTCTTTGGATCAAATCGAGCCCCAGAAATACACCGTGGTGTTTAGTGAGGCTAAATCCTAGACTAGCTGGTCCTGCTGTGATTTCAAC